GATTTTAGATGGATCGTTATGCGTGTGACTGGTCTGGACTGGACCTTCACGGCCACTCGAATTCATCATCTCTCAGTGGTATTTGCTTGTTCCTTTCAGTATTTACATACTTACTCATGAGCACTCGAATATTCGTCTTTCCACGATGCAAACCACCATTGTATACAGTACTCATTATTTTTTTCAGCTTTAAATATTGTTTTTCAAGGATGTAAGGTGTCGTGGCCCCTTTTTTTTAAAGGAGATAGGGGCAGGGGGTAAAATTTAAATATTGTTTTTCAAGGATGTAAGGTACCGTGTCTCCTTTTTTTTTAAAGGAGATAGGAGCAGGGGATAAAAGAATGCAACAAATAAACAAATAAACAAATAAACAAATAAACAAATAAACAAATAAACAAATAAATAGTGTTTGGGGGGCCAGGGGATTTTTATCAACACCATCCTAGCACTCCCGATCCAGGTTTACACTCTGTTTTTTTTTAAAGAAACATCAAAGCAATGTGGTACCAGCTCTCCTTGACAGCTCACGCAGAACGAAAATTAGAGTGCCGTCGTGCCTCGCCAAACCTAACCCGCCTAAGGCAGAACCGTTTGTAAATCAAATAATTTTGACGGAGGGTACATCGCTTTCCGTGGTGGCAGACACGTCGGCTTCCCGGTTTTTTTTACTTACCAGCCTCCCTCCCCAGCTCAATCGCACACAGACAGGCGGGCAAAAGGCCCACGCCACTCCTACACTTCCAGCTGAGACTGTCTGAGATGCCACCAGGCTACTGAACTCATTAGCAAGTCACAAATATATATATGTTGGTTAAGACAGACAAAAGCTGCCAAGAGCAAGCAGAATAGAGAGGCCAAATCTAAGCCCGACAACAGGAGCAATTAGCAAATTTAAGAACATCAGGAGGTAGCAAGTGGGGGGCACAGAGCATGTAAATAATGGATACACACAAACTCACGCCAGTCCCTGAAAAGGTCTTGTTTTGTTTACGAGCGGGAACTTACTTCCCTTTCTACGTTCTGCCATGGGAAAAGAGATTTAAAGCACCTTCAAAACATTAAAAGGAGGGTTTCGCTGGGGAAAGGAGACTGGCAGACTATCAAGCCGTTAAGCGAAAACCAAACCAGAACGAAAAAGTTAGTTTATCTCAGGGACTATGCTAAGGATTTAAGTGCCCATGCAGAGCTGTTTGCACATTTAAAGAGATGGCAATTGTACGCTTCTCTCCTTGAATGTTATGGGTCTGAACAGCACCGTTTTGGTTATACATGGATTTGTTCCTCTACCCCAACTAATATTTCAGGCAGTATTTTTTTTCTGATGTTTACAATAGAACCTTATACAAATTAGAGGCCATAGAGCCAATGAATACTTAAAATGTTCTACTTCTGAAATCGGTCTTTGATCCAGTATTTCATTTTCCTCTCCATATGTCTGATGAAGTGGATGTGTCCATGAAAGCTCGCATTAAAATATATGCCCTTTCTCGTTTTTGTTTCTTTGGGTTTCTGTCCATGAAAGCTCGCATTAAAATATAGTCTTTAAGGTGCCACTGTGTTTTTGCCCTTTCTTATTTTTGTTTCTTTGGGTTTCGCTTAAGATACTTGTCCAGGCAAACACGGCTACCTCTTCTAAAACAAGAAATAAATATTCAGTCAATACAGTGCCACCCAGAAGCGCGTGATCTCAACACGGAAGGTCTCAAAGTGGTCTCCTTGCTCCCCAAAATAAACCCAGCTCTAATTCGGCCTCTAGCACCCTCGGTCGGAGGGTGCTCAGGACTCTTAAGGCTCATTAAACATGGTACTGTATAGAAAGGATGGTCAACACTGTAGAAGAGAAACCCAATAGAGAACACGGTCCTGTGTGTATGTGTATACAGTGGTGCCTCGCTGGACGATGATAATCCGTTCCACTGAAATAGCTGTCTAGCGAAATCATTGTCTAGCGGAAAGCAAATCGTCATCTAGCGAAAATCGGTTTGCGAAGCAGGGACCAAACATTGTCCAGCGAAATTCCCCCATAGGAATAACTGTTTTGCGAATCGCTATAGCGATCGCAAAAAGTCAATGTCTAGCGAAAAAACTGTCATGTGGGGTAACTTTCTAGCAAGGCACCACTGTAGATCAACTGCTTATGTTTTGTAGTTATGTTTCGGGGGGGATAAGAGTAATATGTGGGTTTTGAACCTCTCGGGGGGGTTGGCACCCCTAACCCCAGCATTGCTGACGGAAGACAAAGCCAAACAGGAAAAGCAGGTTTTGGCCACCAACCTTATTGCCGAAATGCCGCTCGTTTCCTTCTCTTTACTCACCATCGAAATTGTCCAGCTTTAACTCTTTGATCAAGAAGTCTATCGGCTCCTCCGGCTTGTGGGTCAGCAAGGCTTCCAGTATGCCCTAGAAAGAAATTAACGGATGGACTGAGAAAGGTGGGTCTCCAAAGGAAAAGCATAGCAACTGGTAAGAATTCAGGATTTGTTTGGAGTAGGAGGACTGAACAAGACACATGCCTAGCCCTTCCCTCAAAAAAGTCCACTCTTGGTGATAGTATTTTCCCCCCTTTCAACAACGGAATAAGGAGAGGAAGTCAGGGAATTTTTAAGATAATACTTTTTTAATATTAATGAGGAATCAGAAAACTGATTCACCGGGTCGTCTGTATTTATTTAATATATAATATATTTCTAGCTTTTGTGTGTGTGTGTGTGTGTGTGTGAGAGAGAGAGAGAGAGAGAGAGAGAGAGAGAAGAAAAATGGAACACAATTTAAAAGGAAGAAAATAAACATATTTTAAATTTTAAAAAAACATATTTTAAAGAAATGTTCTATAGAATTAAAGAAAGTAGACATATGTTTACAAAAATGAATGATTTAAAGAGATGTTTTCAAA